TATATTATGTAAGTTTTTCCTAATTCTTTGAGATTTTGCCAAAGATGATCATCCAAACGCACACACAAGTATAGCTCTACAGCAGAGGTTCTCAAACTGGGGTCCCTGGACCCCCAGGGGTCCGCGACAGGTATCTTGGGGGTCCTCAAAAAATTTCACTAAACTGTTAATTTGATTTTTATTTTTAAAAATGCACGGAGAACAATGAACTAAAAAACAAACATAATCAACTTAATAAAAATTTATATTCCCATGGCATTTAGGGGTTAAAATTTCAATAAATTATCTTTTAAAACAGCATGGGTTTTGTAAGGGGGTCCCTGGAATTTTTTTTCACCCTTGTAAGGGGTCCCCAGACCCAAATGGTTTGAGAACCCCTGCTCTACAGTACTTGTTTTTTGGTGGTGGGCTTTGCCCTATGAGAAGAAAAACAACTTAAAAAAAAAACATGACCTGTGTTTCTCAAAAGCCTGTTGTGGTCAGAGCTAGAGCTAAATGTGTGTCTGTGGTTCCGCCCACATTGTTTTACACTGCTGTAGCTCAAGCAGCAGCTACGTGTCGAGTCCTATAACAGATAAGGTATGTATGCAAAGCTGGTCGCTACAGCAAATAAATGGTTGCTTTTAGGAAAATTCAATTTAGTTGAAACTTGCTTTTGCATTCAGACACATTTCAGGCCATCCATTTTTATTCTAGTCATTACTGCCTCAGCTATCTCACGAATGCCTTCCAATATTCAAATGGACAGTTTGCAGCTGAATTTAAAATTTTTACTACAAAATGCGAGATTTTTTATGCTAAAGGGGACATATTGAGGAATGGAAGCATTGTTTCATCTTAAAAAGTAGTGTCAAATATGCCTTGAGGAATAATTAAAAAAATACAAAGTTTGGAAACGGATTTGAAACGACTTCACTCATTTATAGTTAGATAGTTAAACTGTTTTAGATTAAACGTGTTTGTTTTTAATTACATTTTGTGTGTTCAGATTAGAGTGGGGAGGGGTGGAGGGTACCTGGATTTAATATTTTCAGTACTTGATTACAGTATCTACAATCGCATGGTTCATCACACGCCTTACGATGCTCATGAATTGATCAAGCAAACTTCAGTGGAACACGAGTTAGAAGCATTCTTCCAAACCGGTGCATACGTTTGCACAGCAGCCACAGATATGACTCACATTGGTCAATAAACCACAACTTTTTTTTTTCAGCTTTACTTGTCAGATGACATCAGTTTCAGTGGGGCGCACTTTACTCTTGATCGAAACAAGAAGAGCAGAGGTTGTTTCAGGTTTTCAACAAATGACCTTTTTTGCATAAATGACCTTTTTCTATCATATTAAATGGAACATTATCTTTAGTCCTGTTTTTATTGGAAAAGCAGCTGTAACTGAACACGCTTCCTTCATGTCTCTCATAGGTTTCATCTACCAGTTAAAGAGGTGGTTGCTAAGACATGACAGTCGGTGACATTGATGAAAGCCTCGGCTGCGCAGCAGGCTGAAGCTCCACATCTCTGCTCACGCTTTCCTCCTTCCTTCAGCTCGTAGCGTGCTCACGTGAAGGACAAAAACTCCTTTTTTTTTTTTGTTGATACACGCGCCAAAAACCATGGCAGCTTTTCCTGCRGCCGCCGCCAACACCAAAGACAATACCTCACCTAAAAAAGCATGGCAAAAGCAAGAGGGCAACGACAAAAAGAGTGCACACGAGAGTGACCTGAAAAGGAGCGGGAACAAGGATGTGGGACAGAACACCATCCTGGAGAAAACCCACGAGTTCTTCCAGATGTGCGACATCGAAAACAAGGGTTTCATCACCCGGCGGGACATGCAGGTGAGGATGCTGATGTTTTAAATTCAYTTGTTTTTAAAATGTGTTCTTCCTTTGTTTCTTTGCATGGATTCAGTTATTTTTAACTTTTTTTTGTTTCAGTTTTGTAGTGCTTTTCAAATGTAAGCTGAATTCAAAATGCTTTAAACCCTAAATTCAAAATATTAAAAMCAAATTAAAACAAACCTTAAAAGGTATACTACTACAAACAGAACAGAGATCCCTAAATAATTCTAACTTCAATAACTTCTTGCTTTTTATGTTAAAAAACATTTATATATTATATGTATGTATAATGCTCTAGACATCACGTTCATGTTATGAATTTGTTGAGATCACCTCTCATCATTCATCTAGAACACAATGCAGGGATGTGCTGTCCACTTACTCATGATGCTGAACAGGACATGGATATAACATGTGCACCTTACCAAAGCAACATGAAAGAGACTGACACACAGAGGGCCATGTAAAAGCTCAGTCACAAAACAGCCCTCCACATGCATTATTGTGCAGATTCACTCGCCTGTTGGATATTCATCTAATCCTTTGAGGCACAACAAGGGTCTCTCTTCAAGGAGGATAAARCCAGAGAGAGATAAAGCTTTGATTAGTTTTACATCATAATGAGCTCAAAAACACGAGGGCTGTTTATTTATCCTGGACATTATTTATGTGACAATCTAAACTGAAGTACAGTAAATTTTAATTAATAGCACATATCGCTACTAAAATGTGGAACTAACTGCATCTTTTGACAGTATCAGTCATCTTTGGTGCATTCTTACGATTTTAATTTTACACCAGCACCTCTTAACAGGATACAAGTTTATTGTGTGTTGACATAAAGGATGTGTTTTGGACAGATAACACTTTTACAAGAACAGCTGATAGTCTTTAGRAGATGTTATTCTTTTAGTGTCCCAGCCCTGGATTGTAAGGGTGGCTTCAGTCAACACTTCCAGCAGTGTAAACACTGTATGGAAACCCAACAGGTTATAAAGGTGTGTCTGTGTTGACTTAACTTAATGAGTCGAGGGAATTTTGACACGGTCAAGTTTTTGGGATGGTTTCATTTGGTCACTATAATTASAGTAAATCTTTTCAGTAAAGAGGAGCTATAATAAATGCAAACCCCAAGACAGGAAGGTTTATAAACATGCATGAAAGTGTTTGTTTAAGCTATTATTAAGATTCTCTTAGGTCTTCACTGATAACTTCTTATTTTTGAAAGTATACCAAGTTTAAAATAATGTGACATTAATATACTCAAATAASTTGAAAGTCTTATGAAGGATTGTTAGATTACTCAAATTACACTAAAGTTTTGTGTTTTTTCCAGAGGAATCTGGGCCCYTTTTTATCAACCTTCTTAGAATTYCTTAWAAGAATYCTGTTAAGAGTGGACTTAAGTTTTAAAAAGTTCTTAGCTAAATGCTGWGAGCACTCAGTCTCACTTTAAGTWAAGTGTGAGTGTCAGTCTTACAGCTGATTCGCAGCACTTTGCTGTGCCGCAAGGTTGATCCTAGATGACGTTGTTGCAAAACCCACGGCGTGGACTAGGGTTGGGCATAATCGTATCGTGTGCAATTAATCGTCAGAAAAACATTAATCGATTACTTTTTGGCACTTGACGATTAATACGATTAATGCCACCAGGCAGACTGACTGGGGATTACTCGGGTCAGTCCGCTCGGTMCTCCTCTCCATTTCAAATATGACGAACATTGAAATTAAAGTTCTGTATTTATTTATGTATCAACACAATTTTAAATTTGACATATAGCACAACTTGGAACAGATTTTTACGAAGAGCAAATCTTACCCACTAAATTGGTCATGTGACTGGGACATAAGGGTGTCCAGGGACACCAGGGGATTAATCGTCAAATTAATCGTTWTCGGCTAGCTACCCCAATTAAACGTGATTAATTTTTTTGCTAATATTGCCCAACCCTAGCGTGGACCAATCACTGCATCGGATTTCYTCTTCAAGAATATTCTCTGAGAAATGTCAAGATAAGTGTGTCAATCCTAAAATAACTTCACTAGACAAGAATTTAGATGAATTGCTTTTACACTTAAGCATGAGAGTAGGAGTAAATATAAGAAACTTCAAACACTTAAATGTAAAATTCCACTCTAAGAAGTTTGARAAATACAGGCCCTGGTTTCTGCAAAATGCTCAATGTCTAATTCCATCTTCATGATACAGCATGCTTTCATAAATGCAAGCAAGCACTGTTTGTTAAACATTGTTCCWAATAAAACAAAAAGAGACTGATCGAAATTTCTGTTAACAGCTTTAAAAATACAGTATATGCTAGAATCAAGTGGAGATTTTTCTCAGGCAAATGACTGCCAGTGCACAAAAATCGCAGCAGTTGTTATAGCTACACCATTGGTAGCGGCCTTGAAAGTTAGTTTAAAAGCAGTTCTATTTGTGTCCTGTTTTAACAGAGACTAAATGGTGAGCTTCCTCTTAGTGCTGAGGAGTTGGAGGACGTATTTGATACCCTCGACTCTGACAGTAATGGATACCTCACCCTCGACGAGTTCTCCTCAGGCTTTAGTAGGTTTTATTGCCCCCTTCAGATTTCAACATCCTTACTACAATCAACAGGGTTTGTTCTGTGCACCTAAGCTCCCCTTTTTTCCATTTTCTCTTTTTTTAAAGGTGTATTTCTGTTTGGCCGGAGGATTTCTGTAGAAGAAGGCATGTGGGAGAAAAATCCCAGTAAGTCTCAGCCAGAAGTCCTTTACCAGTCCCAGTGGGAGGAGGACGCGCCAAAGGCAGATGAAGATGAAGACAAGAGCGAGGAAGAAAAGCACTTCTGCATGCTTATGGACAACCTCGGAGCCAATAGCATTTTTGAAAAGTGAGTGCTGTTTGTGTCCTTGTAGTACTAGCTTGTGTTGTAAGGTCTGTTTTATATCTTTATGCACCTTGTCAGAGGTTTTTTTTAAGTCTGCAATACATTTTTCATAACTCAGCTGGGAATCGGGTGTGAAAGCTAATAAAAACTGAATAAAAAAGCCTTTCTCTGCTACTTTTCTGAGAATTATTTTTGTGTTCCATTTTAAATAGCTGTTTGCTTAAAATTTTTAATACAGGTGCATTTCAAACATTAAAATGTATTGTTAAATATAGTCATTTGTTATATTTTATTTAAAATAGCCCAGTTTTTAATGCAGCCCTTCACTGATTTTTTTTAATTTTTATAATGAATTAGTCTTATTTGACTGTAGTGCAGTGYCGGTGGATTCTAACACAGTACTGATGTCCTCTGCCTAGTAAGACCTGAAGAGGGAGGATGACAGTTTTTTAAACACATATTTATTTTGTCTAAATTTGTCTAATTTATTTTKCAAAAAGTACCATGGATTTTTGTAATATTACTTAAATTAGACACACTACATTTGCTTTTGTAACAGAACACAGCAAGTATAATTTTAAAGTATTTAATTAGTGAAACTATTCAATTTAAAACAACTTGCTTCTGTGTGAGCTGCTGAACAATTTATGTTTTCAACTATAGTTTTATTTTGATTTGAAGATTCTGATTTTATGCATTGACTTACCTTTTTTATGCATTGACTTTCCTTTTTTATGCATTGACTTTCCTTTTGTGATGTTTCATAATTGGAACAAATCACAAGCATTATGTTTTTAATCCCATATTAAAACCATTTTTTTCTATGTCCTGATGCTTCTCATTAATCCAGGTAGAAAAAAATCAAAAAGAAAAAAATAAGTAGGTCCTCTGGATGGGTTCTTCTTTAGTGAACAGGTTAGTCACATGCAAAAGAGGGCCATCGCCTAACAATAGGCCAATGATACCAACATAAAGAGGGAGAGAGGGACAAAACAACGGGATGTTGAACCCCCGCTTGCATTCACTACATTCACATAACACGACACGGGTCAGCCTCTATGAACAATAAAGCTAATCAAGCCTATTGTTAGGCGATGACCCTCTTTTGCATGTGACTAACCTGTTCGTCCATGTGGAGGCAGTGCTTATAAAGCTGAGTTCACCTGAAACTCATCAGACTGAAGAAGTCTCTTGGAGTAGAGACGAAACGTTTCACTAAAGAAGAACCCATCCAGAGGACCTACTTATTTTTCGTTTAGATTTTTTTTTCTATATTTCAGGTTTTTGCTAAATTACTTTTAAAAACTCACAGAAAATGCTAGTTGGTTTTTTTACACATTTTGTTTAAAATATCTCCCGATACTAAACCAGTCCTGCTGAGGTGCGCGATCTGTGGGCCCAGCTCCGGCGGGACGAACCACAGCTTCTGTCAACGTTTGAGCACTTTCTGGCCAGAGTGACATCACAAATCATGGAGGCCAACCAGGAAAAGAGGGAGATGGAAAGTGCTCTCAAAAGGTCTGTGAGCAACTTTCTTTGTTACATTGAGTTCATTTGGAAAATTGAAACTTTTTTTTAAAGGATTGCAACATTGACACATTAAATATGTATTTTCTGTGTGGTCGTTTGTCAGTAACATTATCTCCCTGATGTCATATCACCATATCTGGATGTTGCATTAAAGGAAAGCCGCAACACATGATGATGAAATCCAACGCCTGTATGAAGAAATGGAGCAACAAATAAAAAGCGAAAAAGACAGGATTGTACTGCAGGTAAAACAAAAATTTTAAAAAGCAGCTACTGAGATTTTCCCTAAATACAACCATCTTTCTTCACTTTCTCAAATCTTTTATTTGACATTTTCATCTAACTTTGCAAACTGCTCAAGGACTATGAGCGATTTCTGTCTCAGAGTAAAGACCTGGAGCTGCAGCTGTCCTGTAAGGAGAAGGAGGTAGACCAGCTCTTCCAAAAACAGAGACGGGTGAGTGGGAACTTTTAGACTCATTTCTCCCAGGATGCATTTTTATTTTCAGTCGAAAGGAAAGACGACAGAACATCCATTTTCTTTGTCAGTGATCCCTTAAACAAACTCAGCTGTCTGAGCAACAAACAGACACATTAAACAGGATGACAGAGAAGTGATGTAGCACTTTTTAACCATCAACTTASCCATAAAAGTAGCATAACAGTGATGGAGCTGAGCCCAGTATTCTGCTGTACTAATGCATCCTTTTCTCTAAAAGTATTGGAACAGTGTGACTACTTCCTTTGTTTTTACTATAGACTGTAAATATTTCAGTTTAACACCAAAGATGCAACATTTTATCTTTAATTTCCAGGTGTTTCCAACTGGATTGGATACATATGTAGAAGATAACTATTTGTAATAGAAAACCTCATTTTAGGTGAGCAAAACTCTTGGAACAAATTGATGTAAATATCATCAAACCTGTGACTCAGGGACATCACCTTCCTTTGTGATGCTTTTCCAGGCTTCACAACCATCTCTTTCACCTGCTGTTTGTTTTAGAGGAGGCAGTGAGTCACTGCAGTCTCCACCTTAGCAGGTAAAACACAGCTTTATAGGGTTTAAAACCAGAGATTAACTGTCAGCCTACAAGCTTCCACTTCCTGCCCTTGATGAATTACTTTGTTGTTCGATCCGTGTTGATCTGTTAGTTTGGTTGCATCTTTCTTTAAACTTGCAGACAAGATGTTTCTGTAGACTTTAAAATGTTCTTTAGCCTTTCCATCACTTCGGTTGATATTAATGTTTGTTCCATCAGTCCATAAAACATTCACCCAAAACATTTGAGGCTCATCTCTGTAGTTTAAGACTTTATTTTTTTATTTTCCCAGAAGTGCACAACAAGTTTCTGTTTCCAGCTTCTGATGTTTTCCTTGGTCTTTCTGTTTGACGTTTATTATGTAGTAAACCAACAAACTTTCTTCTTCAGAGCTTTCTAAATGTTGGACTGGTTGTGGCCCCTGTTTTTGTGTTGTTTATATATATATATATATATATATATATATTTAGACAGCTCACTGCTTTTCTTCTTTCAGTCTGCACAGGCAAAACCCAAATCTGAAACTGGGAGTAGACATTAAACTAATTATTGTTGGCATAAGCAGCATAATAGGACACCTGAGCAATAAAAAACACCCATCAGTTACATGCTCCAATACCTTTGCCCACCTAAAAATTAGATTATCCATCAAATACAGTTCTATTTTTGTAAGTTATGTTTTCAATCCAGAAGTAAACACCTAGAAATAAAAGTTGAAATGTTTCTCTCATCTCAAATTCATCTTTTCATGTCAAACCCAAATGTTTTCAGTCAACAACAAAAGTAATAAAAGATTTCACCCTTCCAATACTTTTTTACAGGGGTGTATACGGCATATATAATTCTTTTGTTTTTACCACTTATCTGTTTCCAGTTGGAGTGTCAGTGCCAGGAACTTCATAGTGAGCAACATGTGACCAGAGTGGAGAATGTGAAGCTGAAACAGACAAACGATGAGTTGGCTCGAGAGCTGGAGCTRGTCAGCCAAGAACTGACTCTGACTCAGGAGCAGCTGAGCCTACTGCAGGAAGAGTCCACACGACTTTATGAAGAGAAGGAAATGTGAGCGATACAATATTATAAAGAAAACAAAACGAATCTTGAGTAGCCGTGTTTCCAATCATTTAAAAACCATATTGGATTTTGAAATTAGGCTTTATAGTAAATGTGTTTTAGAGTCAGTRCCAGTACTTGATTTGCAATGAATAAACTTGGCTGCAGAAAGTTGTCAGCAGACCGTAGTGTAGCCTGTGTTAGCCAAAAGTGGCTAACCAGAACAAAAGAGACTCATTTTGAGCTCCAACAGAGGAGAACCTGTGCTCATCTTTTATTTATGGTAATTTCCTTCATATTTCTTTTAAAAAAAGTGCGGACAGCAGAAGGTGTGTTTGTTAAAAGAATAAGCACAAAATGGACTTTAAACCACACATTGTGTCATGACTGSTTACTGTTTTAAACAGGGAGATATACAGGCTTACTGAGGGACTGCAGAGGGAGCGAGCAAGTCTTCTGAAACAGTTGGACCTGTTAAGGTGCGTCTCAATAAAAACATTTTGCAGCATTTCTGTTGGCTTGATAAAAATATAAGTCAATACACAYCAATCAAATAATGGAAGTTTGATATTGTTTTTTCTGTTGCATCTACTGCAAGTTAAATAAAAATTCCTGTTAGAAAAAAAAATCAGGCAAAATAGAATGCCAAGGTCACTTCTCTATTAGTGGCTTAAATCAGTTATAAAACCTAGAATGTCTCCAGTGATGATGTGGAAAATGAATTTTCATCTCATAACAGTGCAGTGATCCAGAGGGATCGATGTCTGTGCTTCATGTCATTTTGATCATTTCACACACTTTCTTGCCCTTCAGCTTTTGTGCTTCAGTACGTTTGGCTTAAAATGTCTTGTCAGCTTTAATTGAAAATCGTAACAAAACTGAAAGAAGCTGGGTGACAGAACATAATGTCCGATGTTTAAAGGTTGTAATTCTGTCATTTGATCACCAGTCAAACTTTAAACTCGTTTCATTGCTGATGACATTTTATCAGTCAGCTGGATATTGATTTTAAATTAGGGCAGAATATTGCAAGAAAGTGTATCTCAGCACAACCTGTAAAAGGTTACTTTGGATGTTGGTTCTCTCAAAGGTTCCCAGTCTGCTCTTGAGGATGTTTAGAATTCAGTAAATGCTTATTAAGGAGACACAAATATAAAGTGTTTCAGATGAGTTTATGATTCTTATATGAGGTGATTAASATCTCCTTTCCACACACAACATGCCTATTTGACTTGCATTTAGAGATACAAAGAAGGGATTTATTTTTTAATAGTTTAAGCTTTTATATCCACATTTTTCTCTCCWGTAATATCCATGTATTTTTTTTACATTTTTATAGAAAGAGCTATGAAGAAYCAAACTAAGTGAAGAAAAACAAGGCAACATTTTTCATAAAAGAACACACACGTGTGCTAAAGGCAAATTGTTTTATTGACTGCAAAGATTTATGACTACCTTTATTCTCCAAAATTTTGGACACTGGGTCTTCAATAAGCTATATATCCAACATTAATGGCTCTCTACAAATAACATTCTATAAAAATATTCTAGTGTTTGTCTTATTGCTGCTAAGGTAACTTAGTTGGAAACCAAGCTTGCATATCAAAAATTGTATCAAACAAGCTGATTTAAAATTTTAATTTTCTTTATCTCCTTTATTTTCTCCAGAGAAATGAACAAACATTTGCGAGATGAAAGAGACATGTGCTATCAGGTGTGTTTATGTTTATCATGTTTACTGAAAAATGAAAGTTTTTCCACATTGTTTTAGAACTTCACAAATATATTTAATTTGTAAGAAATGTATTCCTTTATCTTAGGTTAACATTAATCGATATTAAGTATATATTATTTTACTTTGTAGAAACCAAAGAATAATAAAACACCAGCTTTGAAGCAGAGGCTTRCCATTGATGGTGTGAAACACTCAACCCCAGATGTCTTCAAGAGGTAAACTGTAAAGAACTGATCCAAAGGTCAACATTGTTTCAAAAAGTGTTGCAGGTACATGACATTATCACCCCATCACATTGATTTGTCTTTGTATTTATAGTGAAGCTGAAGAGGAGCTGACCTCCATCTCTAGGAGGCTGAGCTTCATTAATGGGACATACCAGTCGTCTTTCCCAGCAGAGGCCAGCGGYCACCTCCGAAGGATCATTTCAATTGAGGAAGACCACCTCCCCCATTTACTGAATGGCTCTCAGGCCCAGAATCCACTTCAAAAGTGTACTGAAGGAGGGGAGGACTCAGACAATGAAGATAATACAGACTTTGTGACAAATTATCGTAAGACATCACTTTCCCATCAGCAACAGTCAGCAAACAGTGRGGAGGAAACACAGATTCCAACATCTCCAAGAGGTCAACCTGTTGGCAAAGAAACCAGCATAAATGTAAGAAAAGAAAAACCGTTAGAAAAAGGGGTGCAACAATACATGTATCTGTATCGAACCGTTCAATACACACTTGTATCGAACAATACAGATTTTTAAAATTTACTTCATCAACGTGTCTTCTGAAGATGCTCTGTGTTGAAGGATCAGAGGATCTGTGTTCGACTACTCCARCTAGGCTGCACTGTCGAGCACAGATCCACTGAGAAACTTCCTGTTTCAGCAACATTTAATTTAAAAACTCTACTTCTGAAGTTAAACAAATGTTCATAATTAATTTCAATAAATTAGAAGTTAAGAAGGGCATGGAAATTTCTTTTTTTTTTTTGTAATGAAAAAATGTTGAACCGTGAGACTAAAGTATTGAACTGAACCATGAGTTTTCTGTATCGTTGCACCCCTAGTTATAAACCACATGAATGTCAGATCTGAAGACCTGTAGTTGTAATTCTGTGATTTATGTCCGTAACATAAAGTTCAAACAAATAAGACGGTAGGTTGACTTCTCCTGTGTTTGCTGTTTGTTCAGGAGGAAAGTGGTCCCTCTGCACCCGATCGCCTCTTCAAGATCATCCTGGTGGGGAACTCCAGTGTTGGAAAGACCTCGCTCCTTCAAAGGTTCTGTGATGACCGCTTCCACTCAGGCACTTCAGCCACTGTCGGTATGTGCCAGCGTAGCACTTTTTTGCACAACTTATCATTTTAAAATATAACTGGAATTATGCACAGTTACAGTCGTATTGATTATCAGCAAATAAATGGCTGCACTTTCTTGTCTTTTAATCTTTGCAAACAGGTATAGACTACAGTGTCAAAACAATAACTGTGGACAACAGCAAGGTGGCGCTGCAGATGTGGGATACAGCAGGACAGGAGCGGTGAGATTAAAGCGCACAAACAAAATACAGTGTAACAACTCGTTGCCTTTACTCCACATTTTCCCTCTCCTTCCCGCAGGTATCGAAGCATCACCAAGCAGTTTTTTCGCAAAGCTGATGGTGTGATTGTGATGTACGAAATAACCTCTCAGGAAAGTTTCACAGCTGTCAGACAGTGGCTGACGAGTGTCAAGGTACGACGATAATAAACTCTGCTGGAGGCACTCGTAGATGTTATTTTGTTTGTCTTTTCCCTCAGATTCAAATACAAACTATAAAGCAACAATATTTGTTCTGCGAAACAAAGAAATTATTGTCCACTTTTATGACTACTTAAAAAAATCACTTTCCTTCGATGTGTTCTGATTTTTTTTTTTAATTTTATTTATTTATTTTTGTTAAATCTTTTGCAGGAAAGTGCAGGTGAGGACATACCCATCATGCTTTTGGGAAACAAAACAGACAAAGAAACTGAGAGAGAAGTTCAGAAGGAAGTGGGTGAAAGATTAGCCAAGGTTTGCTTTTTTTCTTCAGATCAACAGAGTGTTGGTTTCTATAAATAAATGGAACCAGCTACATAACTGGGTATTACATGTGAATTATTAAATATTTCTGGATTGTACCACGAGGGCTAACGGTATCATTTTCTTTATCTGGCTTTTTTCTTTTGTCAACATCTCCTCCTTTTGAATTTTTTTAAAGAACTGTCAGATGATCTTCTATGAATGCAGTGCATGCTCTGGATGCAATGTACTGGAATCTATGGTGTCTATGGCCAGGTGAGTTAAAGTGCTTTAAAATTAAATTAAAACCCAAAAACTCAGTTTGTTTTGGATTAAAAGAAGAAGCAATTGTAGTTAATTATTAGTTTAAARGTTGGCTCCTGTTTGTAGTGCTTCCTGTTTGCCATTTGATCTTCTTACTTGCTCTTAATCCTTGAGTGAATGTGATTTTACCAATGGCAATTTTTTTTAGATTAAATGACTATTTAGTATGTTTTTATCTATTTTTTATTGCTCATTGCAGAACAAATAATGCAACATTAAACTTGATCTCTTGCCAAATAGACAGCCTGGCTCAAAACCTGCACGTCAAGACAAAAATCAAAGAGGACAGACAGAGAAATATTGACAACCTCAGTGTTTTTGCCAGATGTTTTATTTAATTATTCTGTTTTCAGAATTCTGAAAGACCAGGAGGACCGAGAGAAAGAGAAGACCATCAAACTGGTCAGTAACCCCTCAAAGAAGGGGTCCTGCTGCTAAACGATGAACACTTGGAGTACAGTAACAACGTAACACTACTCTTTACCAAGTTACCATACGTGATCATGTCAGCACACATACCTGTGGAAACACATTATTATGTCTGCACAACTCTTCTTTGTTCTCCTTTTCTTTAACTCTAATGAAAATCATCTTCCAGATGTWATCTGCACTTTTTAAAAGCTTCTATCAATATGAGGGCATCAAATAATAAACAGACAAGTAACCAACAATTTACAAAATTAAACGGTACGTTTGACTCAAATTCAACAATTTTACTTCCTTAAAAAAAATCTACTATAGTTTCTTCACTCAAACTCGAACAATTATTACAACTATTTATTCAGCCTGCAGAGGCCTTTACCTATTCYTTTTGTGCCATTTTATGTGACATTAATATTAATTGTAAAGTTTGTTAGTTTTTAAATCTTATTTCACTTTCTGTACATATATGTAGACAAAACAAAACCAGTTTCTTGTATTAAATCGTAAAACTTAAGTAATGGTCAGTTTTAGTTGACATGTTAATTGAACTTGAAGAATTGTGACATTTGTTACACAGGAAAGTAACAATGCATTATTAAAAAAGTAGCACGCAACAATGTATAGAAGTACTTTTAATGGATAATATTGTGTGGCCATGTGTATATAAAGTTTTGTTTTGTTTCTGTAGTTGGTTCCTTTTGGATGAAGCAGAATAATTAGCCGGAGCGTTCGATCAGGTTTGATGTCGTTTTTAATCGGAGCTCAAAGGTTAGAATAAATGTTTTGTATCACCCTGATCTGTCATGATGCCAAGTATTTTATGAAAATTACACTTTTTTCTGTAATCGGTTTAAGAAAATCGACTGGAATTGGTAAAAAGAAAATAAAATGTAACTTATTTTATTTGTTGGTCACTAATGGTGCTTCACTACTACTTGTATTTTTCACCTCTTTATTGTCTTTATATAAATGTGAATTGAAATAAAAGTAATGTGTACATAATGTAACATGTAGYTCTTTGAATCCATGCAGCTGTTTTCACATAATCTAAAACAAATTAAAATGTGGGGAATTGTTGGTTTTGTTGCTGCAGTGCCCTAATGCAGTAAAATGTGGTTTTGAATCCCATATTTCATTACTTTTCATCTAACCTGTYTACATTCTACAGCAAACTTGATATAGTTTCATTCTGATGCATTTSTACAGAAATTAAGCAAGTTCTTACTTAGTTTGTGCTTTCTATTTATTTGACCTAATTCCACYTGTTCCTCTGAAATCCTAATTTAAACTCAGGTTAAACCTAAATAACTCGACGCTATTTCGAGTCAGATCTACCTACACTAAAAACAAGTGTTTTAATGAAACCATAACAATCAATGCAGAACCGGAACACGGGGCACTTGATCGTGGCTTATTGGATAAATGTTACTGACCTGTAAACATCGCAGCTCAAACTGAAACAACAGATTTTTAAGCTGTGCAACAGTCTGYGCCTCAGTAAATTTATATTGCACAAAACAAACAGTATAATGATGATTTAAAAAGATGACCTATRATACTGTACATTTGTTTATCCTTGGCTGTYATGTTCACTTMAATTCCTCTTGATTTCTAAACTCACACTTCGAAAACGGTTTCAGTCCATTTAATACAGTACATAATATAATTAAGTCTAAATGAAGTTGGTATGAATGTGATCACTCCAAAATATAATAAATAAAATGGTTATTTGTGACCCATCATATTGAAATGAGGATTAAGTCTAAAAATGGGATGCGGAGAAAWAGGTTATCTGATCAAAACTGCATTTTGACAAAATATAACAAAGAAATACTTTATCTTCTGAATGAACTGTCTGAAATATAATCATAAAAAGAAAAAAAAATAAGCACTTATTTTGAGCCTTAGCAACAAAAAACCTGATTTTGAGGAAAAAACGCCTTAACGTGGAATGTTGGAGCAAGCAAAGCTTTTGTTTCTTTCCAACTGGGAAATCTCACTTTTCAAACACTATTTGAGGTTTCCTCTTTATGATATACYGTCATTCATGACAACACATTCATTAAAATTACATAAAATTAGGATTCAGACCAAATATTAACGTATCATTGTAACCAACTGTCTCTGGATCTGCTTATATCAGAATGATCAAAATGTATTTTTTAAAGCCAGGAATCTGTAAATGTGATTAGTTTATTTTGATCAAATTTAATTTAATCCTCATTCCTATATGATGGGTTACATTTCATCTTTTTTAAATAGTTTTGAATGTTGTGAAAACCCTCAGTGCTGAATAAAACATGGTGTGTCAATCATCMGGAACATTCATTAGAAAATGTTTGGGACAAGTTGGGTGTTACATTCAGAGTTACTGGTTTAACAGTCTGGAAGAGTGACATCCTAATCATTCTGCAGGGAAGTGACAGTATTAATCAACAGGGTCATCTCTGTCTAATCTTTGGCTTTTTTTTTTTTTTTGGACCCCCTTATATCCATCCGTCTCAGCCTCCCCGTGGCGCTCAGGACTCCAACCATCCAACTTAACGCATCTTGTAGTCGTGAGATATCGCCGCTTCACAGAGCTGCCCTTTGAAATCCAGTTCAAAAGTAAAGTCCAAGTCGCGCTGCGGTTCAGCGAATTGGGGAGGGAGAGAGAGAGAGAAAAAAGATGGTTTTCAGTTAAAATCGAGACAAGAATTGATCAAACGCACATCAGAGAGCGAGAAAACAGCGCGAGAGCAATCAGACGTTTCATTTTGACCTGACAGCGGGACGCGGTGCGAGGTAAACGCGGCGTTTGTGTCGGACAGCGAGAGAAAAGCAAACAGTGCTTCTCCGTCCCCTCAGGGAGGAGGGGAGGACGCTCGGCAGGATCAACAGTAGAATCTGTTGTTTGTTCAACTCTCTGCAGCGCAGCTGTCTGTTTGGCCGCAGCTCTGAGAGGAAAACAATCTGCTGTGGGCAGATTGTGAGGGGAATAAATCGTGGACGGATGACGAATGATCTAATGCGAGCAGTGATTACTTTAGATCAGAGGAGCCCAAAGTGGGGCCCGCGGGCCAAATTTGGCCCACCAAGCCATTAGATTACCAACAGTTGCCAAAGTTACAAGGTTGTAACCTGTTATCCTAACACAGTATTTCCATTGGTCAAATGACTATARAAAAGAGCTGTAGTGAAGGTAGTTTTCATTCATGGTGCTGACTTTATCTTTGATTTAATAGGATTAAACATGAAACATGAAATGACAACAAGAAATATTTAGATCAGATTTAACCCAACGTGTTTAATGTGAAATATTTACCAAAAATAAAGTTATTGATTGATTGATTGACATGTAGATTTTCACACTTTATAAGGCCACAAAAACTCATATTTTATCAATTTATGAAATGTCCCATGAGCCTTTGCTACTTGAGCATCTGGCAGACTTTCTCCAAGTGCACAGACTAAAACATAAGAGGGCCATTGCACAGCTTAATCATTAAAAATAAAAGACTTTGCTTACAAAAGTATTTGTATTTCATGTATTACTACATTTGGCCCACAGCTCTGGATAGATTTGRATTTTGGCCCTCTRGGGGAAAACGTTTGGGCACCCCTGCTTTAGATGGAATACTCACAATATTTTTCTCATTGGGCTTCATCGCAACGGTGCCGGTGATCTCTTCTCCTCGTCGCACCGTTAAGTAATCCTCCAGGTAAAACACGGTCTGCTTCCAGTGGGTGTATGGAGCATCTGGAGCTGGAGTTCACACAAACGAAGGCACATTCACAGCAGTCTTTGGTATTTATACTTATTTATTTAAAAAATAAATCATTTTGTAGATATTTTTAATAAACAGTGACTGGTGGCCAAAAATGCACGATGCTCCAAGAAGAATCGGGAGCAGCTTGGTCTTTTATTTTCGTTTTATTTTTTTAGACAAGCCTTTTGTACATTTTTAAATAAACCTGTCAGTCAGTTTGGCTGCCAGAGAGGCCTGGCTCACTTATATTTTGGACAAAGTTCAATAAAGACTCCAAGTAGCTCTGCTTCTTATGCTAATGCTGCAGACGACGAGCCGTTTCTTCTGATGGCCGTGAAATGAAATCTCTGACCTACGCTCGTCAGTTTCCCTGAGGTTAAAAGTCTGCGTGCATCTGATACGGTTCGCTTTCAGGATTTTGGAGCTGCACTAAGTCTCCGAATTGGCAAGTTTGAGTTGGATCTTAAAGTTGGCAGGTGAATGGTCAGCTCTGACACTGGAGAACATGGGCTTAAAAGGCAAACTTAAAGAAAGATCAATAGGAGAGTGAGGAGGAGAGYAGATGTTGTTTGGAAACAACACAATGCATCTTTGTGTTTAAGTCAGGATGTGATGTTTGATGAATGAAGGATAATCTGAGTGTTCATTTAACAAAAAAAAATAGCCAATTGATTCGTTTTGATTTAATGTATCAATAAGATTTTTGCTGAAGAACCACTAGAGGTCAGTCTAACACTGTTTTGACTTCCTGCCAACCAGCACCACTCTGAATGTTTGACTCATGCTAATTTATCTGATCTTAAATCCTGTGACAGTTTTTTTTATGAATACAAGTAAAAGCTTAGAACCAGTGATATGAGAGAGATTTCTGTGTAAGTGTATCTGTGAGCAGATTACAGTCTGGGATTTGTTAGCAAAATAACCAGCAATAAATGAGTCTATAGTTGACACGAAACACAGTGACAATCAGATAAAACAACTATCAGTAATGTAAGCTCAAAACACCTAGACTACTTGAGCTTTATACTTTCAGTTTTGTCCTTTCAWAAATATACTAGATTTCAGATCTTTAGGAGAAAAAAATGGTTTCTTACTAGTTATAGCTGCTTCGTGTTTAATGCATATAAAAATTGCAAAGACTCGCATGTTACAATAACCAATATTGCTTGAAARGTTTATTAGAAATGAACACTTCTCTCATTTCTTTGCTTAAAAACTTAGTTTTTTTTTTACCATAATAACTGAACTTCCAATGTTTACAAGCTGCTTCCTTATTGGTCACATGACCCTGCACAGGAAGCTGGGAGGAGCAGGTGTGAGGTCTTACCTGTGGAAAATCCAGTCTTCTTGTGACACTTAGTGAACTCTATGTTGAAGTAAGTAATCAGAGCGTGGACGTAGTCGTTCCTCTGGATTTGCAAGCAGAAAGGGGAGGTAAACGAGAGGTCGTCTGGCTTCACRGTGTAGAGGTCCACCTCCTGAAAAGGTACAGACTGGAATAAGTAATCCATTGTTAAAAATAAAAGGCAATTTTATTCATTTTCATGCAAACCGTTGTGAAGCATTGTGTATAATGTCAAAAGATGGATGTGGGTGTGCTTCTTTTTATYTACTGTATGTATAAAACAGTGTAGRTACAAGTTAAAGCTCTTGAGTCTGTGCCAAAGATGGAAGGAGGCCRGTGACACTTGTGCAGGATAAATGAAGTTACTGCTCGCATCACGCCTCAGGATTTATGTGTTTTTATATTTAGTGCAAGAACTCAAGTCTGCAAAAGCCTTTTTAATAGATCTTATGTAAAGAACATCTGCTTATACATTCTGATTTACTGTTGTGTGAGCAGCTCCACGCTACATTAGCTCACATACGTAACATAATTATTCATTACTGTTCATGTGAAAGCATTCGCTGCACACAGATCACATAGCTCAGTCTTTTTCTCATGTGTCATCACTATCTATAGAGATTTACTGCAGGCTTGTTGGGTTTTGGTACCAGATGCAACATTTGTTGTGGAGGACTGAACCTTATGTTGGATTTCAGCTGAAAACAATCAACCCTGCTGTTCTAATCTAAAAATAAAAATCCTCTGATTTACGCAGTAAAAACTTCTCAAAGTAAGATTTTACATTTTATAATCTACCACAGTGTTTACACTGCAGTAATTATTACTCTAAAGGCAAACTAATGGGAGAATATGTTTTAATGTTGTTCACTACTTTACTTATTAATGATCCTGTCCAAATATTGCTGCGCKGTTTTAAGCATTGTAATAATAGAAGATCCTGTTTGGAAACTGCTCAGCTGTAACTTGAATGAAGTAATTTGGAAATCCATTTGAAGACAGCGCACCATTTTCTTAGTTTTCCTTTGGAGTGTTAAAATTTCAGTGTTAAACTTTTGGGTGTTAATTTAACACCCCCTAGTGTTATTTTAACACTTTCTGAGTACACTCACACTCAGTGTTGTTGTTAATTCACAGCGTTGATTTCCTCAATGTTTTCTCAACACTGGACAGTGTTAAATAAGCTCCGCCCACAGATAAGTCTTATATAACACTAAACAGTGTTGTTATATGACACCATGCAGTGTTGAAAGCAGTTTTCTGAAAAGCCCCGCCCTTTTCCACCTCATGTCAGACAGACCAGCATTTACCCAACATTCCTTGCTGAGAAATCTTGCAGAAATGATGTTTTTGCATGTTTATGACTGTTAAAGAAGTTCATGATAGTAAAAATTAGTTGTTCTGGTTAGATTTCTTGTTCAGTTTGATGAAGTTGTTCAACTTTGAGTTTGTGTTTTTGGCCAAAAATCGACACCATGAGTCAGAGGTATGTCCTGGTGTGTGAAGAGTGACTCCATTATACTTTTCTGCCAACTACTGAGTAGTATAAATGCAACAGTACAGAGAGTTTGATATTTACTCTGATTGTTAAATTTARACMCTCAATTTCATGGTGTATWGATACCTTGTAGTGTRTGTTAATGTTTCAAACACCCCAKTTTCCTTTAATAATACTCTGGTGATACTTTTAACACTTMGTTTTAACACTGTTGAACATGACACCCAGTATTGTTGAATATTTAACACTGGCTGGTGTTACTTTTAACACTATATTTTAACACTAACACTATTTTATGTTAATATGACACCCAGTATTGTTGAATATTTAACACTGGCTGGTGTTACTTTTAACACTATATTTTAACACTAACACTATTTTTATGTTACTGCGACACCAAGAATTGTTGAGTATTAAACACTGGTTGGTGTTAAATTTACAAAAAAAATGACTGTTAAAATTCAACACTTTCACAAATGTTATTTTAACACCACTTAGTAGGGACACATATAGACACTTTGTTGGTGTTAAAATTAACACTGTGGGTGTTAAATTAATACTGGCATTTTTGCTGTGTGTAGTTACCCAGCGGGGAATCACTGCTGTGAGGATTTATCACAAGATCCAAACACAGATCATTATTCAAACCCTCTTTTAACTCTCATTTTTTTTAGTTTTGTTTGTCAAAAAACCAAAACGATCCTTGATGGAAAGGTCAAGGTACGACTCGCACCAAATGTTCCACCAGGACCGAGGTGAAACGGGACAGAACCCTGCAATCAGTGGCAGCCATTAGAAGGTCGTTATGACGCGCTGCACAATCAGGGGGACTAGACAGGCTGCCATTGTCATGCATGGCACAACAGCCTGATGAGTGTAATTCACACAGCGAGAGGCCGCCACACATCAAGGTCAAACTCATTCCTGCAGAGCCACACAGCATGTTCACCGAGCAGATAATGTCATTGATTGGCTGTGAACTGTTACGTGTTAGCTTTACTTCAAAAATCAATCCAAAACTGTTTTTTAGGTAAAAATAAATGCAGAATGATCACTTCCCATTTAACAGATTAGAACTTTCTCTTTTTTTGTATTTTTGTTACTTAATGTTCTACAATAATTTCTGTGTTGCAAAAATAGTTTGAGATCATAACACAAATTCAGCAGACCGGAAGCACAACCTGGTGCAGGTTCAGAAATATTTAAAGGCCTTCCTTGAAAGAACGCAAACTGAGTTTTAGATTAAGCTCATCTTTCATTGAGAAATAAAGGAACTGTAGCCATTTTGGTCAAACCTCAAAAATAACAACGGGCCTCATGCAAGAACATGTTCGTATTCTTATCCTAAATTTCTCTTACTTTTGTTCGTACAAAGGGTTCGTA